CACCCCGAACCTGAGCCCTCTGTCCTCCTGTCAGCCTGAACTGCAGGAGCCTCTCCTCGTAACAGCTGTTTCCCCTTGATTTGCAGCTGAGCATGGACCGGAGCCGCCTCTCTGGCCTCCTCTCTAGTGCTGCTGGGTGAGGCAGTTGCGAGTTGGTCCGTAGGTTGTCGAAGGTTGGCCTTTTGTTTGAAACTTGGTGGGTCAGGGATCCCTCAGTAAAGGGCAGTGGTTACATTGGGAGCTGGTAGATTAATTTCCATCAGTCAGTGGGAAGTGTAAAGCGTCGGTTGTAAAATAGATTTATTATATTTTAAAACATTTTTATTGCTGTTGTCCTGATCACACTTCTTGAGGGATCATTCCAACATGTTCGTTGGTGACAGGGACAGCAGGCAAAGGAAAGCTGTCTCCGTCTCTCAGAGATGTCCCTGGCTCTTTTTTTCTTTTGAGTTCGAGATAACATCTGTAATGATTCTTTTGGACTTTCCCTTATTGTTGAGTTGTGTTTATCATAGCAGCTTTCTTTAAAGAAGCAAGAGGGAAATCTAGCTGTTCTTTTCCTGTCCGCCATGTAATGTCGTATAGGATTCACAGCGTGTCTGTGCTCTACCTTACATTGCACTTGTGGATCCTGTGTGGAATCCCAGCTGCACTTGTTTCTGCTGCTGTATATATGCTTTTGCTTCCCAGTGCTGTAATAGGCCCCTTCCATTCACTTTTACTGACTGTATACCGGATTTCACCTCCGTTTTGCTCCAAAATTAGGTTTTGGTGTTTTTTATTCGAAGAGGATTTCAAAATCCTTAAAAAAATCAAAACCCTGTTATTTACCATCGTATTGATTATGCAGTAGATTGGAAGAATGTTTTAGTTTGCCATGCTCGTGTTAGAATCGGCTGAGCTGTGATCTCCATGGTGCGCGCAGGAGGTGAACGAGTGTGCGCAGTGCTGGCAGAGCAGTGGGGACGCGGGGGCGTGCTTCTGACATCCTTTGCTTTGGCCTGTCTCTCAGATCCAGATGTACGAGGGGGAGATGGAGCGGGCGCAGGGCCAGCTGGAGGCCGAGATGCAGTCCCTGGAGGAGGAGAAGAACCGCGTGATCGAGGAAGCCTTCATCAGGGCAGAGAGCGAGATGAAGGCTGTGCACGAGAATCTGGCCGGTGAGATCACAGTCCTCAGCCCAGAGCAATGTTCAAGCTCATGTTTATTTGTCATTCCAGCCTTATACAAGTATACAGTGGAATGAAATATCGTTCCTCCTCGTCCACGGTGCAAATACAGGCAGGACAGACTGGACACTGACATAGACATTGTAGACAGGATACGCATAGTGCAAAGTGCAAATGACAAGGTAAATACATAATACAATCTACACAACACACTGGGGGGATTTAAACCCTGTTTCTGGAATTGGGGTGGGCGCAAGTAGATTCCAGGGTGTTGAAGAGCCTGAGAGCCTGTGGGAAGATGGCTGTTACCAGAGAAGTACTGGCTCGTAAGTCTATAGCCACTGGTAACAAGGAGAGATTTGTGAATCTTACCCTGTTTCCAGTGGTTATAGACTTACATAGATCAGTGTGTTCTCAGATGTAAGAGAAGTCAGTGTAACATAGATATAAACACAAACATTTAAAAAAATTACCCAGGGTGAGAAGTCAGGGTTGCAATAACATTGAAGAAGACATTCATGCTGGTAATTATATGCAGAACTGCATTTTTCTTCAGTTCTGCTTAAACGAATGCTTTGAATATCTTTGACATCTTCCATGATAATCACTCCTAAAAAAGTCTGTGAGATTAAATCTTCAGGGACTTGCTTTACTGGTACCTGGTGTTCTTTATTTTGATGTCATGTCTGCTGTCCCTGAGTGGATGTGCCTTATGTCTCCTGTGTAGGGAGTCTGTGGGACCCCTGCATGTCTGTTAGCTGCTCTGTTTACCTCTTACCCTGTCCCCTGTCCTCTGTGTTCAGGAGTCAGGATGAACCTGCTCACCCTGCAGCCAGCCCTGCGCACTCTCACCTGCGACTACAACTGCCTGAAGAAGCAGGTGCAGGATTTCCCCTTCATGTTGGAGACGGCGATCTCTGAGGCCAAGCAGGAGGTGAGGCTTGGCTGATCCTGGGAAAATCCCTCTTCTTCCGGCTGCTGGGAATTGGGACAAGAGTGACATGTCCCATAACAGCAAGACTGGGTGGCCTTGGTTCACCTGTTCCTGTCCTGCTGAAAATCCTACTGCCGTTTAATCATTTTAAGATTTTTTCGGGAAGTGGTAAGAAGCACACAACTGAAGGACAGCCGTGGTCCAGGTTGATTCAAGCCTCATGGACTGGACTGTAGCACTGGAAGGGTTTAAAAGTGGGACAGCTTGGGTTTTCTGACCATTGGAGAGCTGTAGTGGGAAATGTGCGGTCTAGCGTGCCACGTGGGTGGTGTTGCGCTTTGGCGTGAGAGAAGAGGATGGTATGTGGGCTATCTGGCTGTGCCAAGGGCTGCATGCCGCCCAGGCATCACCTGTTCTGCTTGTGCCCACAGATCTGCCAGGTGATCGGAGAGGTTAGCAGTGCCAACCAGGAGCTCCTGCGCAAGTACAAGAGGGAGATGACCTTGAGGAAGAAGTGCCACAATGAGCTGGTCAAACTAAAAGGTGGGAGTCCAATATCAACCTCTGAACATTAAAAGGAGGGTGTCCGTATTCAGTCTGATTGCCATTTTTAAAAATATGCTGCTCTTGCATGCTACTCTGTAGATGATGACTACAAAGTTCCTATTTGTACAAGACAAAGGTTACTGATTCAGTTTTATTTAGTACTGGATAAATATTGCTTTGTAGCCCACTAAAGGACAGGATCATTCTAATTGCTGAAGCTGAATTGATCTCTGAAGCTTGTCTATGGACTGTGCACATGGGTTGTTGATATACAGTCCAGTAGTGATTTTTTTAGTAGAAGTAGTGAAACTTCCATTTTCATCATTCCTTGTCCTCATTTCTTTTTATTTTCTCTCCATAAGGAAACATCCGTGTTTTCTGCAGGGTGCGCCCAGTCTGCAAAGAGGAGCTAGACGCCACTGAAGCCAAGAATATTGTGACCTTTGACCCAGATGATGACGCTGTCCTACACTTATCGCACAAGGGGAAGCCAGTGATGTTTGAGCTGGACAAAGTCTTCCCCCCACAGGCCACACAGGAGGAGGTGAGCACGGACACAGACAGGCCGGACACTGCTACCTCTTTGTCAGCAGGAAGCAAAGACTAACGGAAAATCCCTTTTTTTGAATCGCCAGGTTTTCCACGAAGTGCAAGCACTGATCACGTCCTGTATCGATGGGTACAACGTGTGTATATTCGCCTATGGACAGACGGGATCGGGGAAGACCTACACTATGGAGGTACAGTCACATCTCCCTTGTTCTCTATTGGCTATGTTACACTGATTAGAATATAGATGTCTGCTTGTGGACTGTTTCATCCACATGAAAGTCAGTGTTCTTTGGAGTGGCTTGCATAAGGCACATGTCCTGAGATCTGCAAAGCCTGACCTGTTGAAAATCTCCTGCCCGACCCCATCAGAAAGAAGGTGCTTTGTTGAGACCAAGGCGATGGCAACATGCTCTCAAAGTGCTTTCTAATGTGATTTTCCTTCTCTCTTCTACATCAGGGGGTCCCAGACAATCCTGGCATCAACCAGCGTGCTCTCAGGCTGCTGTTCTCGGAGGTGGCAGAAAAAGCTCCTGACTGGGACTTCACCATCACCGTCAGCATGGTGGAGATCTACAATGAGACACTGCGGTGAGTTATCCCTCGCATCACGCCTCCCTTTTTCCTCCAGCGTTCAGGCACACGTACACCTTGACCATCGGCGCACAAGGTTGCGCACTGCCTTATTCAATTAAAAGAGATTCAGCTCATTCGTCCCTTTATTTGGCTTGACGCCTTTTCTGAGAGAGCACTGGAGTAGGCTGGGTAAAGGTCTTCAGTTTCCACTTACTGCTCCCCACCTCCCGTGACATGAACCTAACGTTTCAAATGAAAGGAAGAAAGCGTGGACATCGCACACCTCATTCCCACGAGAATCCGGTCACAGTGTGGGCCTCGTCCGTTTGCTTTAGGAATCTGCTGGGCGACAACCCCAACGAGAAGCTGGATATTAAGATGTGTCCGGATGGCAGTGGGCAGCTCTATGTCCCTGGACTGACGGAGTTCACCGTGACGAGCGTGGAGGACATTAACAGGGTGAGTCTCAGTGAAACAGCCCCACGAACAGACTGCTTCAGCAAGGCGTGTGTAGACATGACTGGTTTTTGTCTCTGTAACGTTTTTTTGGTGTTTTACAGCATGTTTTATTTTCCAGTGTAAAATACTAGAAGTATAAGAGACCATTGGTAAGAACGTTCCTTCTTGTTTGGTGGATTGTTTCATGCAGCTGGTGTAGCGTTACTGATCAACTGAGTCTCTTATATTTCTAGTATTAGTTTGAACTCATGTGAAGTGACTTGACTTAGTTTACCTCTTATGTAAATCATCCTGAGACATTTGCTGTACATATTCTGCAATTTGATTGCAGTATTTTAAATGAAATTCTGTCAATGAAGAGGTCAGAATGGGTTTTCACGCCCTTAGAAACTGCTGGTTCCACACCTGGGGACAGTAAGGTTTGCTGTGCTGATAGTGAGTTGGAGAAGCGCTGTTGGTCAGGAATGCAGGCCCTGGTGTTTTAAGTGTTGCTTGCCACCCACTCCAGGTGTTCGAGCTGGGCCACATGAACCGGGCGACGGCCTGCACCAACCTGAATGAGCACAGCTCCCGCTCCCACGCCCTGCTCATCATCAGCGTCACTGGGGTCAACTCCACCACCGGCCACCGTACTGCTGGTCAGTACCTGCTCCCGGCCCCGCCCCCTCTCTCTGCTCCCGGCCCCGCCCCCTCTCTCTGCTCCCGGCCCCGCCCCCTCTCTCTGCTCCCGGCCCCGCCCCCTCTCTGCTCTCGGCCCCGCCTCCTCTCTGCCATTCCCCTTTCCCAGCTCCTGCCCTGCTTTGCAAAAATAAAATGCCGTAACAGGGTTGGATTCTTAGTTGAAGCAGAGGTGAAAATTTCTGTAATAGGTTAATGTTTTAATATTGTAATATAACCGATCTGACACCATCTTAAGGGCAGAAAATCTAAATAGTAATCCTCCTCTCTCCACACTAGTGTTAGAGAATACTTAGTAATGAATAATACTTAATCATTTTCTTGTGAATTTGTGAATAATTTGATGGTGGAGAATTAAGCCAAAGCTTAAAAGACCAGTATTTATTACACATCTTCCAGACATCTTATGGTGGTCATCTTCCAGAGATGCCAGACTTGTAAGCCATGGAGTTAGATGGTCTCCAGCATTACTGGTTGGGTGTCCAGACTTCATGGACTGGCCGTGTGCTCAAAAGCCATCTGCTTTAACAGACGTGTTCCCCCTCAGCAACTGGAGAGACTTTTCAAGATGCAGGGCCACACAAAATACCAGCCCGCACGATCAGTGGACACTCCGCTCACAGCGGTGTAAAATGCTACTGTAGGTGTTTCTGGTGGGTGATTAGAAAGGCCAGGTCACTTGCAAATTGGCACTGGATGAAAATTCTTCCGATCCTTCGGGCACAAATTAAAATTGCATCGGAGCCATCAGACTGCTGAGAACACCTGGGCACTTCCTTAAAGACAAGGCTCCGAAGCTCCGTGTGCCGTCCTGCTGCGTGTTGCCGAGGTGCTGACGCGCGCTGGTCTCCGCAGGGAAGCTGAACCTCGTTGACCTGGCCGGCTCGGAGCGCATCGCCAAGTCGGGCGCGGAGGGCAGCCGCCTGCGGGAGGCGCAGTGCATCAACAAGTCCCTGGCGGCGCTGGGCGATGTCATCCACGCCCTGCGCTCCCGACACGCCCACATCCCCTTCCGCAACTCCCGCCTCACCTACCTGCTGCAGGACTCGCTGAGCGGGGACAGCAAGACCCTCATGATGGTCCAGGTCAGCGTTCAGGGCAGCGCGGCGATGCGCGGTAGTGAACGTCGCGGTCCGCGCGGTTGTCGATGCGATGAGTCGCACATCTTGAAGGTCTCGGTGCCACACTGTACAAGTTGTTCATAAGGGCAGTAGTCAAACCATCTTTCCCTGGTTTCAGCTGTGTAATGTGTGTAGGTATAATATAGTCCGTTTTGGGAATTATCCCTCAGTGTGTGGTTCATTCTGCAACAGCTTTTTGAAATAACACTGTCGTCTGGATAGGCGCTAGTGCTGGAGTTGTGATTGGTTTCTCCTGGGATTTGTGGGGCGGAGTCTCATGTTGTTCCCTAGTCGCTTAACGCAGTCCTCTCTCCTGCCCTCCCTCACAGGTTTCTCCCCTCGACACCAACGTGAGCGAGTCGCTGTGCTCGCTGAAGTTCGGCCAGCGAGTGCGGACAGTGGAGCTGGCCAGCGCCGCGAGGAAGCAGGCGGAGAACTCCTCTGCCTCCTCCTCGCCCACGCACGACAGTGTGGAGGTAAGGCCACTCCCTGCTCTCTGCCTCCCCACCCGGTCTTTCCAGTGCCCTTGGGAAACAAGTGGAGGAACTCCAGGATTAAAACTGGGCAGTGTGCCTGTTCATCAAAGCAGGCCGACTCCCACGCCGGATTATTTCCTTTGATCTCTGTGCTGCAGGCCTGACATACCTTGTGCCTTTTAGCATGTTAGATAACTGTAGAGCTTTTAGGAAATAAGATCTTTGTATAGCAATGATGAAGGATCCAAAGACACTCCCTTGTTTTTGAATCCTGTTTTGAAATTCCAGCCACTGAAAGCTTTTTGTATTGTTATAGCCTGACGCAAACTCGCAAACTCGCATTTACTAAGGTCAGGGTGTAGAGAAATGAGTTGCAGTTCGGTGAAGGATTGAAAGAGATTTATTAATAATGAAGATGCCTCCTGGAGATCAGACTGATAAGAGTAATCCTCTACCTATCTGATCTGCTTGCCATTGTTCACAAACATCCTTTTATACTTTAAAACACCTCCTCTATGTACCTAACATGAGAAGCACATATGGAGAAGCACATATGTTAGGATCAATATATTTAGGGTTGATCTTTGATCCTTCCTATAGACCTCCATATGTGCAAGACAACAGCGTGCTTGTTCAGCTTATCTGTCAGTTTCTTTTGTTGCAACAACTAGTGCTTGTACAGCATGTCCTTCACACAAGAAAGTCTTGCACACAGGGCAAATCTTACGCACAGAAGTCCTATAAAGGGCGAGGTGGGTGTCTCTGTGAGCACTGATCAGCCAGGGCATGCTTGTGTTTGCAGCTGGACTCTCCTCCTGTAACGCCGGTGCCCATACCCAGTGCCCGGGCGAGCAGCCTGACCACCACACCGATGCCAATGGCCAGGCCGTCAGGGAGCACCAGGAGGAAGCTGCAGCAGCCGATTCCAGGTTTGTCACTGCTTGCTCACTTCCTCGCTGGAGTACCGCTGTAGTGTAGCCCTGTGTGATGCTGAGCAAAGCTCAGTGCAAGTGAAAAGTCTGGGGTTGTGCATCGTCTTCTACAGATTTGCACTGTTGATACTAAGAGATTGGTGGTCCTTCCTTTTCTGTGTTGGAACTGAAGGGGGCTTTCATAACTATTGCTTGTGCCTAAATGTCTTATAATCTCTGTCTTTAGTCTAAATTCTAAATTCTGTCTTTAGTCTAAAACAGTCTAAATTTACGAATGTTTTTGTTCCCCTTTTTTCTTGCTTTTTCTCTGGGCAAGATTCATTTCCAAGAACTTAATTTCCCCCAAGATCTTCTACACTATTTGCAGCCTCTTTCTCTGGCTTGGCCTGCTTTCACATCTCTTGTTTATTGACTAGGAATAACTGAGCTATAAGTTGTCCTTTAAAATTTAAATGTTTTTTTTGTAGAGTCTTTTTTCTCCTCTGTATTACCATATGATTACTGTTCCTGAACTTGTGGTTTGCTTGCAGCATCGAGTAACATTTAAAAAAGTGCAGTTACAAGGTCTCAAGGGGAAGGTATGTGGGATTTTCTCGATTCCCAGCTTTGCATGGATACCTCATTGCATGGTGCCTGTAGTCCTAGAAGCATTAACATGGCTTCAGCCAGGGGATGCTTACTTTTAATACTTTTGTTTTTGTTCATGCAGCACATGGCTCCATTGCAGTGTTAAGGTTGTGCAGAGCTCTCAGAATCTATTACGCGGATGAATTGTTCCAAGAGACTTAATCTTTTTTTTCCATTCGTTCGTAGGGAAAATGAAACTCACCGCCTAACTCTGGGCAGCCCTGTGGAAACCCAGAGCCCTCAGTCACCTGTCCAGCCAGAGTGGGAGTCGGATGGTTCCAGTGAGATCAAAGATACTGGACTACTGGGGGTCCTCCAGTCTCCTGGATTTAGAGTTGGTGATCTGTGACTTATTGAAACTGAAACTCCTAGAGAGAAACTCGCCCTTTTGAATAAGCATCGGGAAACCTGTGTTCTTCTGCATTTTGAACTCTTTTGAGCGGGTGCTGCGCATTTTATTTTGTTTTGGAGAACCACAGAGGATACCACTTGCCCTCAAATGCTGCTATTCCTCATTCTTCCTGTGATAAACTGAAAGGAAGGCGATTTCTCCAAGGAACTTCTCCATTCTCTGAAAACGTTGAAGACCCTCTTAAACAGCATGAAGACAGGGGACCAAAATGCTTAAGTCTTCCAATCCCAGAATCACTCCAGTCCAGCTTTGTTGGAATCAGAGCTAGCCTTTCCCTCTTCCTGTCTTAGTTTACCCCATTAGGAAACCTTGTTTTCTACTTTTTATAAGAATCAAGACCGGCAGATGGAGGTACTACACTCACAGTATTTCTAAGCAAAATGCACTTTATTCAGTCTGGTAAGATGACATACCTGCATATTGTTCTTTTTATACTTTTTGTTTAAAATTGTTCTTGCTTTTCTGTTTTTTTATATGAGTTCTCATTCATCAGTCCAAGTTTGTACACTGAATAAAGCACCTTGAGGTTGTTAGAACAGCTGGATTTTTAATCATTTTAGATGTAAATGTGCTGGAAGAAGATTGTATATCATATGTATATTGCTCTGTACAATTATTACAGTCTTTACATTTCCAGAGAATCGTTTATTAGGATATTAAGTATGAACACCTTGTGGGAGTAATGGGTTGTGGCACTTAGAAAATACGGGAGCATGTCTTTCCTTTACTGCTCTTAAGTGCTTTTCTTCTCAAAAGCAGTTAAACTCAGGATGTAGAAACAGAAATATTTAAAGAAATTGCAAATAAGAATTTTGACATTTAGAAATTAATAGCAAATTTGCTTCAAATTACAAAAAGGAAAATGAACCTCTGTATTCCCACTTAAGCCTGAAATCTATATATAAATTGAACAATTTCAAAGTATCAAAATCCTCAATTTACCTGGAATGTAAACAAGTGCAATATGCAAATACTTATTAGTGTATAAATGGTACAGCTGTAGGTTGCTTTTTTGTGCATAATGATGTTTTAATCAAAATTAAAAAGCCATATTTTTGAAAACCATCCTTTTTCCTCCTTTTTTCAGACTTGTTTTCTGTGTGCAGGTTCAGCAAACAAAATCACTTCTGTAGCAACGTGGCCTGAGCTAGCAACGAATCAGTTTAAACGTAAATGCGCAGTTTTTCATCAAAGCTTAAAAGCAGAATCCACTAATTTCATGTTTACTGAACATAGGCATGCCTGCGCTAGCTCATCAATGAGTTCAGTGTGTTCACGTGCAGTAGGTATATTAAGTGACGTTAATTTGTCATGACCGCTTTAATTACAGTGTTTAATGGGACTCAAAGAACAAATGTAAACTTGTTCATTTTGTGTTATGTATATGAAGTTTTGTTCTGTTTTCATTTGAGTTTCATATTAAAACTTGTAAAATGCTTTTGTACATTTTTTTAAAATAACCTGGGACTGAAATTATTTTTTCCAATCGACAGATTTTTTTTGATTTTTCTAAAAGTTGTTCAATAAACTACAAATTAATCTTTGTTGTAGATGTGTTTTTTACAGACTTCAAGACTGGCAAGTCATGAATGACTAGAGAAGGAAATAAAATCTAAAATGTATAAAATGTCAGTTTAATAAAGTTTCCTTTCGTACATTTAATGTTATTAGGCGTCTGTGCCAATTGAAAAACGGAACCTTTTAGTATTGAAAAGGGAAATCGAATAAAATCAAAATAAAGATCCTTGCACTAAAATGGCATTTTAAAGTTCTAAGCAAGTTACCAACTATTACATTAAATGTGTACATCATCTACTTACACAGACATTTAAATAGGTAAATTAAAGCTTTTTCATGGTGTCTTCTACATGAAATAATGGATTTCACACTGTAGCCATTTATATATATATATTACAGCGCTCTCGGGTTCAGGTGGGTATGCGCCCCCGAGAGCGCTACAATATATAGCGCTGCTGTATGTGTAAATCCCATGCCATTTACTTGTACGTAAACCAACTCCGTAACGTACCCCCCGAAACGGCACAAACGATGAAGCCCACCGCACTCGTTAGTGCTGCGTTGGTATCGGTTTGTGCTGTTGAAAGTAACTTCCAAGCTGTTCTCAGGCCCGAGCTATAGCGCCTTCTTTGTCGGGTAATTACTGTACGTGACCATGCAGGCGGCTTTGACCGCTAGTAACCCGTTTGGAAAGTTCAAGCACTCCGCTACTGGATGCGAGGGTAAGGATGTCTGTATTTTTGTTTCTGTTTGCCGGGGTGGGGGTGCTGATGATTTTGCCTTTAATACCAGTATTGTCTGTGCGTTTATGTGAACAGGAAAACTAAGTTTGTCTCCAGTATCATACCGTAATCACAAGAGTTGCGGGTTTAGCCTTAAAAAGCGAACATTAGCAAACAATTGCATGTTCTTGAAAAAGGCTTCAACTAGCACGTCTTAATACATCGCAGCTGTGTCAATATTTTTTAAATCTGAATAAGTAATCAGTTTCACATTGTGTCCGTTTTAAATATACAAATCGAGGGACGTTTAACGATTCGACTCGTCTTTTTTAAACCACATATTTAAGATTGCTAGCATTACCAAATTTTAATATTACAAGATCGCTGTTTTACTATTTATGCAAAGCAAATTCGGAACCGTGAAAAAGAACCGGGGAAATATTTTTTTTAAGTGGCACTATGTACAATACTAAGTTGCCCTTGGTAATTTATAATACATCTGCAACATTGGAAACTCTTACACACGCAGACCTCGGAAATATTTAAAATATTTTCTTTTTTACATTAAATTGAACATATATCTAAGTTTAAAAAACATCATTATCCTTGTCTTTGTATTGAAGTATTGATGAAGTCACCTCATTGAAACTTTAATTGAACATTTACGATTTGTTTTCAGTTCAATTTAATTCAAAATACTTTATTTATCCCATGGATTCAGATCATGAACAGTAAAAGGTTAGCATAATATTGAATTTTGACGACTTTTTAAATTAATCAAAATTAATTTGCATCTCTCTCTCTTAGAGAGATAATATATGTTATTATGAAGCTCTTAAATACCTGTCGCACACTGCTTCCACTAGTTCATTACCAGACATCTGATATTCATAGCCAACATGTTTACCACCAGCACTCTTTGCACTTGACTACAGTTACTTTATTTTAAAGTATATTAAATGATGGCTTCTCTAATAGTAATAATAAGGAGCGACATGATGCTCCACTGGTTATCTAAGGGAAGACGTGTTCACATTGTATTTATATGTATTGCTTTTCATTTTTAAATCTTTAAACTGAAGGAACCTTGTCAAACGCTCATGGAAATACTATATATGATATCGTGACACCTACTGGTATAAAGTAACCAAAGGGATACTCTGCCAAGACACCGGGTATAAAACATTTAGATGCGTTTAATCGGTTATGTAGTTTTTATAAAGTTGTCTTGTATAAGTATATATATGCATATGTATAAGTTGTTTAAAAAAACAAAAACATCAACATTTTAAACTGTCGGACTTCATGTCTGACACGTGATATACAGGCTCCCCCAACTCTACTGCAAATGTTTATACTTTATTTTTCACTGTCATTCGAAAAGATAAAAAAGGCATGTCCAGTCGCAC